TTTATTATAAGTATAAATTTGCTAGTAAATCTTACTGCAATCATCACGAGGTTCTCCTATATCACAATAGTTCCATCGCTCATTAGGGTTAGTCGTGTATCACCATGCATCTACATTCCCGTCTGGGTTTCTACCATAGTTGTGATCTCTAAGGCCAGCGTTCGGGAAATTGTGCAATGTTTGCGGGTGTTGATTGAGGTAATCGCTTCCACCGGCTTCCTCGAACACTCGGCAAAATTTCAAGCACAGACATTTCTAAAGCATAGCTTATTCAATATTGCAGAACACTTACCTAATAAATAGACTGGGTCATGAAAATTCATCACAACGGTAGCAACAAACAAAGCAATAACTATTCCAATAAAACATCCATACAATGATAACAATATGACATTAAAACGTCTTTCCTATTGAGGAAAACATTGCAGAAGAAAAAAAAAATTCTGTCTTTAATTTGTTCATTCCTAATAATTTTAAGCAAAACTATTTCTTACTCGGAACTTTTTAATCACATTCCACCAAAATGATTTTTTATGTAGAGTCATTCTTTTATAATTTAATCTATTTGAACCTAATTAATGTGCAGTTGGAGAACAAAATAAAGCAAATTATGTCAGAGATATCGGTGCAGCACATAAATCGGAAGTCCAAAAGAAAGTGCAAAGTCACAATGAATGAGAAACGTACAGATTGGTATACTGGATTTACATTTGTGTTGAATACGTGGTGCTGAAGAAACAAAAAAAAAACATGCCTAATACCCTTAACGCTTTGCCCAACAGTTGTTTATTTAATCCTAAGTAACACAGGTTGCATTCTTCTCCATCTTTCATTATATATGTATATGCAAATTACGTTCGCATAGAGTACTCACCATTGACGCCATTGCAGAGATCTGATGTTACATGCGATGACCTGTCAATAAACACATTCTGTATTAAGTCATTACTCTTTCATCCACAGTCATTGCAGCCATTTTTTTAATGAAATGTAACATAACTATTTATTTATTTAATCAACAGATAAGATTTGACAATTACTGTTTTAATATAGAAATACTACTTTTCAGAGCGGCACGACACAAATTTTTACTATGAAATGCCTTTTGCTCAAACACTTCAAAAGTAACGCCAGACTGTGTTAAGTCATGACATTTAATTATAATTAATTTGAGCAAAATTCCACAATTCACAAAAATATTCAGATTGTACATTTAACCACTTTCCGCCATTTTGCCATAGTAAGAATGGTATCAGTCGCTATACACAAAAAAAACATCGTCCCGTCTATTATTGACCATTTAGTAACATTTTAATCCATGCAGGGACATTATTTGTCATTGACATTAAATTGAAAACACTCCTACACGCGATACGACTAAGCAGGCAAATACGATTTTTTAGTATTAATTGCAGTTTTTCATTCAGACGGAGGGTGAATAATTAATTTCGTAGTACTTTACAAGCTGTCGAGGATTACATACGATGACACTTTTTGATGATACCAGTGACATCAAATAATGTGAGAGACGGATATTTGAATGGATTGTAACATATTATTTTTTTAGCTCAAAATAACGCGCACGGTAGCTGTCTCGTCCGACGAAAACAGAATAATACATATATCAACGGAGTATGTGGTTGTTTTCCTCTTCTTATATCAGTTTTTTACAGCAGAGTCCAGTTATTTCAAATAAAAAAAACATGTCGGGATTCGGATTATGTTAATTTTTAGTTATGACCTAGTTGGTTGCTAGTGGTTACTGCTTGTATAAAAATATCTACAATTTATTGTATATTTTTTTCAACCACTATAAACAAATATTTACAGTAGCGTACAATATACTGCTTACTGAATGTTGTTAAACATCTTTTAATGCGAAAAACTATCAGTCTAGAAACACATTTACCTTACCATGTCGTTATTTTATCAATGTTTCGAGATTCTACATTCCTCGCTTTTGAAATAACAGTCTGGTACGGAGCTGCGAATAAAACATGGTTGTAGACAGGCCTTTACAAAGTTATTGTGTTAATAAAATGTTTGGTTACATGCGTGATTACTTTCGGTAATCATTCATGGCGACTCCATTTCACAGTAGTAGACGAAACTACAATTAAAAACGTGGTGATATGATTAAATATATGCTGTGTGTCGACATACGATGTCTACATTGTAATGTATAGTAAATTACTAAGATATACCATTGTAACAAGACTTGGTCATCTCAACCACAGACTAATTTACGGAATATATTCTATGAGTATATATTGTATAACTTCAACCATTATCGCGAATTGCGAATATTACTCGTGACATGATTGTCCATTAACCAGTGTTGAATAGTATTGTCGGGCATTTTAGCTAGCTCAAAATACGTCAGCCACCAATATTTGTGCTTGATTCCAACCGATTGTTATTTCAATTTAATCAGTGAATCGTAACAGTAGTATGGACGCCGGTAAAAATATACTTTGCTTGGAATATGGACACCGAGCCTTATTAATGTCACGTATTTGCTTACTAATATATTGATCTGATCTGAGCATTTACCTGTATCTTGACTGAACAGGCATCGAGTAAAATATTTCCACTTCTGCATACTAAATCTATAATACGCTTCAGGGACAGTGGGAGAACTTCGTTGAACGAGAGGATTGTTTCTAGTGAGACGAAATATGCTAAAGTGGAAAAGAGAATACATTGAACAAATTGGTGATATTGTCGGCTACGTTAGAATTCTATCTAAAAGAACTAATGACGTATTGTCATGTAGTAGTTTTGTCTGTCGGTGAGAGGGAGAATAAACCACTATAATTTCCCTAATTATTACTGTGATATTTGTTCGAATTGATTAAATATTACTCAGTTGTTGTTCATTGCTTTCTCGAATTTCATATATCGTTATTGAGCTTAACTAGAGGAAAACTCTCACAAATCACGATAGTAGACGCCATTTCGAGGAAATTCGCTCACTAATCAATTATAACAACAACATAACAACCAATGAACCAATCAGCCCCGAGAGCCCGCTATAACTGTTACGGTGGCTGATCCTACCAAGGGTTTAAAAACTTGGATACTTGTTTTAGTGCGCGAGTACATGAAACCTTTCCCAATTTCAAACAAGCCTTGACTTACCCTCAAGTCCACTCACACTGCCAAGAAAGAGAAATTGTATAAACTTTTTTTAATCACGCATCTGCAGGAAATCTTTGTATATATATAAGGAACCGAAGCTGTGTAGCAACAGGCACTCTAGCCAACATTTGTCAGCTTAAGAAGCCGGATACGTACACCATATGAAAAATCTATAAAGTGTTGGTAATATAAAATTCAGCACATGGAAGAGGAAAGTTGTAGTTCATTCGTATTTTAAATGCAAAACCTTGTAAGGCTTGCTAGACAGGCGATATTTAAAAAAAACCATATGGTAAAGAGGAGGCTTTTATACGTTTTTGAAATGGCAGTACGATTATTGTATTCTACGATACAAACAGACCGAATGACAAGAATGACATAGCAGATTACGCGGTGTTATTCATGTTAGGACTAGTTTGCCTTCAAAATGTTACTCTCTCATTGTTAGTAAACTATGATTTGTTGCGCGCTTTGAGACACTGGTTTCTGTGTTTGTATCGCGGTTTGTCGCTGCACGGCACCGTTGTGATTGAGTTTATTTTTTTTATATAAATATAGTATAGTGTGTTTTATTGAAGTGACCAATGTAGACATAAGCCTAAAGTCAAGCCATGTGCAGTATTTGTATACAAACTGGAACATCGTGAAGAATACACCCGGGTATCACAAAAGATGGCACCAGGTGTGTCTATTTGTAATAGTAGTTCTTATTAAAGTTGAAACTGCTGATATTATTCGATCATGAACCAAAAGTTCAATCACTCTTGAACTCTTCCAACTTATATATGTTTATTATCCATACATGCACTTAGCTGATGGTGCTCTAGAAGACGAGCATTTCTGTTTCGGTATAATAATAGAAATGTATCGCACAAAACGGCGTGAGCAAACAGTTTTGTTTCAACTTGATTATGAGTTCTTCAAACGGTAATAACGTTCGTGTATTTGGTTAGTGTCTCACTGGTATGATAATTTCAAAATAGAACGTATATATTTGTAAGTAAAACCTGTTTTCGATTATATGCTATATAAATATGATCTTAACTGATATATTTATCGACTATTTTTTGGAAAGCACAACACAACAAAACAATAAAATACATTACAAAAAAACTTAACTTAACAGATTTATAATGTTTTCCTATTTTGTTTCAAATTGATACTATATTTTCTAAACTAATGTACAAAACATGTAGTCTATTAACTACACGAAAAAAAACATACATTAGTATAAACTTTGTTGATATTATGCGAATTCTGCCTATTGTACACACAGGATTACGGAATAGAATAGAGCACTATATATGGATTACAATAAGGCTCTTTTGTTCTCGAAGAGGTATCCGCGGTCATTAACAAATAATGTAAAACGACAACATATGACGAGCACAACAGATTACAATACTTCAGGATTATATGGAACGACAGGTGTTTATTCTTTGACATTGTTTCAATATTTTCAGTTGTTATATTATCTTCTATTCTATAGAATGAAAAAAAAAACGGATTTAGGTTAAGGATTGCCATGACATCTTTAACTTACACAGTATGTACATGTTAGAAAGTTCTGGTCAAGTTAAATATTATATGACATTATTGTTATGCTTTCATTATTATGGGTTAATACTATTATACAGATTATTTTACGAGAAACAAATATCATAGATAATAATCAAATGCTATTTTTCTGTACTGGATTCTACAGTGAAATTATTTATTCGTATCTAAACGTTTTGCTGTGTTACGAGGAATGAAAATTTGTATTATCTATATGAATTTGATTATTCGAATGCTGATTTTCAAATATAATAATGAAGATTTCTCACATATGTGCCACATTTCTATTCTTTTACATATTCTTACTTATGTAAATTGGGACATTGATCCGAATCTACCAAGCATTTAGAAGTGTGTTTAAAAATTAACACATTGGAGTTTAATAAAGTACTTACTAAACTATTTTGAATGTTGATATCAACAGAAATGTACTGATCTGCCAAATGCCAACAGAGAAAATAGTATAGTTAATAATTGTTTTTCACTTCGTAATAAACCTAAATACAAAAAATAAACATATATGTATAAGCAATACGTCTCATACCTTCATATATATTACTTGTAGCAAATGTAGATGTTGAAGAAAATACATCCGTATGAACACCTGTAATGTTAATTAAATTATATTACAATCAAACGTGAAAGGGATGATAATGCTCGAAACAACCACGTGTAGTGTTATTAGTATTTACAATTGATATGGCCATTTTTGTTGATCTATATGAGCATCATTAATGAGGTCAAATGACATATCTACTACTCATATGCGGTCTTATAATTAGGTTAAATCAGTATCCCTCTCAGCTTTATCGAGTCTTTATTAATGAAATCGAATGTTTATTGATCTATACTCAGTATAGATGTTAAGTAAGATGTTTCAATTAACCATGTCTTAATAAAGGTTGCTCCTCGTTTCTGCAATTTAAAAGACCTACATCAATATGAAACTACACAGCAACATGTGTACATAACATAGAATATGTAAATTATATTCACCAGTTTTTGGAGCATAAGAGGCAAATGATGATTCATAGTGAGAAGCAGTTGTCCCGACTGGAAGAAATTAGAATAATTACAATTACTCCCTATTGTCATAATTAAATACATGAAATATATATTTCAAGTTGTATGCTGACGTATTTCATACTTTTACTCCCTAAATACAGAACAACCATTCTTTTCAAGCATGTGTATTGGTCTTATAGGTTGGTTAAATGAATCACAACCCAGTACGATTCATGCCGTATTTTGCTAATTCGTATATTTAAAGCAGGGGAGTCGTCACCTGCACAAGCGTCAGATGGCCATAGCGTGTCATTGTTTACACACAAGCGTCATGAGCCTTTAGGTTTTCAACGTGTGTTATCATCATCGCCTGGGACTCAATTCCCGCTCATGTACAGGTGAATCCCCTCCCGCTTTAATTAAGTATTATAAATAATATTGGGAACAGATTGAGGTTTTGAAATTTGGTAAAATAGTACAAAAAGTAGTAAAATAGTAAAGACAATATAATACAACAGCGCTTAATGAAGCGAAACTTCGAAAATATACCTGCAGCTGTTATAAGACATATGTATGCTCCTACTTGTATTGTTATTATTGTACATATTTCCACAAAAAATGTACGCATGGTAGTTGTTGGACTAACACAGGCATGACTAGGTTATGGAAAACTCAATGGTACATATGCCGGATGCAAAAGTTACGAAAGCCTCGTATCGAATCGTCTCGACCAGGTAAGAATTCCCTGTGTGTAACCAGAGTAAATACCAGTTAATTCCAGTTATTTTTTTTTCAATACGTTACATTTAATTCCTGCCTATCTTGATTTAGGCAACTTATGTGAGTGTGTCTCATTAGTGACCAGACTAACTATCAATAATAACAAAATGAATGTTTTAGTATTTGAAAAGTGATTTTTGTCAATATTCTATGTGCGAAATTGAGTGACTGATTTCGACTAAAGTGAAATGGTTGCAATACACAAAGCAAGTTACTTACTACAATTGTCATATGGTTCTCCAACATAACATAGTTCCCAACGTTTGCTGGGAGTCGTGGTGTAGCACCATGTCTGTACTTTTTCATCCGGGTTTCGACAATAGTTGTGGTTTCCCAGACCAGCGGTGGGGAAGTTAGCAGGAGTTCTTGTATGAGAGTGAGGCGTTTGGTCTGTCCATTTCTGACATGTTTTGCCACTGATAGTAGTGCTCACTTTTCCACGGTAGTCACTTGCGTCAGATTCCTTGAAGCACTCATCTATAAAAAAGATATCAAAATATAAATGGGCTTAGTCTGACCAAAATTATTTCAAACAAAGATATTCAATAACTAAATCCCATGTAATACGTGAGAGCATATGAATTTTGAGGTCATCACGAGGATACTACACAAAGTATGCACGAAGACAGTACAGCGAAGTACCGACCGACCGGCTGCGGAGGTCGATGCGACAGGTACCGCCTGAGTCTTCCTCCCAGAAATATACATCATGGAATGGCCGAAATCCAATACGATTAGAACAGATTTAGAACAGAACTTCTTGTTCTTTATTATAAGAGAACCCTTACGCGCGTACTCGTTCCATATTTGAAATTTGCGTTTCCTAATATGTTAGGAAGAAAATACCAAGTTAAATACAGCAAAATTACGGAACGCTGTAATTTATGGCGTTACGGTGACAGATGTATTATTGCCATTTGCATTAGAGAGGTCCAAATGCTGGTTACAAAAGTAACAAGTTGAAAGGAATGTTACATCAAGATATTTAAGTAGCTATGGAAGTTCAAATCAAAGATTGTCATAATGGATGATCCTAAATACAATATTACCGAATGTAACATATATTCAATCAATTAACACTAGTTCAACTGTTTTTTTGTTTTTGTTTTTTTGTGTGAAAGGGACACACAACATACTACACAACTGGTCTCTTTCATTCTAAAATTTGAGCTAATAGCTAAGGGACAACGTCAAAAGATCGATGTCGGATAAAAAAAAACTTATTTGCTTTAGTTTTGGGGTGGGGGTTGACCACAAAAAGTTTCCATCCTACAAAAACGATTTTATTTTTTAATGAAGTCAAAAAAAAGCTTGAAGTTTTTGTAGTTCCTTAGTTGTGATTCAAATGAGGTCAATTTCATGACATAGACCTAGAGCATGCGCTGAACCCAGAGAAGTATTATTCCCTTCATTATTACAACCAACTGCTATGCCATACTACAGTCCGATTATCAATTTGTATTTAATCGTGAATGTAGTCTGAAGCCATGATCAATATTTATCAATTAAGTTTCAGTGGGGGGGGGGGTGGAAAAAATCTAAAAGAATTACGTTTTTTTATCCGACATTGATCTTTTGACGTCCTCCCTAAGGACATCATTTGCATATTTCTATTGAGTTTCACTGTTTAAAATGTTAAGTTATTGATATTTTCACTCGCACAACTTGTTAAGTCTTTGAATGCAAAGGAATTTATGATTACGTGTTGATTTGGTGCTTTTGTCCGATATGACTATAATATCATTATATGGCAAGTTAATGTAATTTCCACTGTTGTTTGGGTTAACAAGAAACAGTTGCAACCGATAGTGTAGGAGTACACCTTTTCTTTTCCATTTAGCACGTGGCACGCTCATAATTTATTTCGTTTGGTGAGCATATATAGATACCTTACCTGGCGAAAATCTATGTGCCCTGAGTGGGACACTCATGGGACATGAATATACTTGCAAGTTTCTTTAGTGGTACTTCATACACACTTATCATTATGTTATAATCATGATACATGATAGGCCTAGCATGTCTCTTTGAATAAATACTATTGAACATTTTGTAAATTATAAAAGATAGTCTCAAATCCTTATTTGATATATATATTATTTGATATATATATACAAATTGCTTTGTGGAAAATTGTAGTTAA